ATGGAAAGCATTTCAGAGAACCGCCAGCCAAGGAAGATCGAAGTACTGAAGCGACGGAGAAACAACGACAAACCACAAAACGGCATACTACAGCGTCAGAAAAGCACACATTCAAACCTTTACCAGTGACTGTACCGCCGCCTCAACCGGAATTGACCTTTCAGAAAACTGGAGAGAGAGGTTCGTAAATTTGCCTGATCCACGTGCAGAACATTTGTGACAGTTCATTAATCGTAATGTTCAGGACCTGGATTCTGGAACCGCTTTCAACCAAACCGGTGGTTTGAGTCGATACATTACGTTACGAACACTGGCAAGTAACGGGTAGTTCCGCTCGTGCGAAACTTCGGAACACAAATTCATACGCATGTATCTTCCCTCTAAGTATTGTAGTGCACAGCTGCGCTTTACGAGATCTTTTTTGCTAATTTGCATGGCTGTGCTTGTAGTCGATGTAGTCTGAAACGTTAGACGATCAGCTTGAAAAGATGCTCACTGGTTGTATGCCATATTGGTCTTTCTTTCTAATTTATTCATGTTGTTCAAAATTTTATTCACAATAAACATACTCAGAATTTTTCTTCCAATGTCTTGAAAAACAAAATAATACATAGTTCGCCTCTTTAAAGAAGTCAAGTACCTAAATCTCTTTTCATAATCCTCAATTTTTCTCTTTAGTAGTAACACATGCGATTCTCAATCACGTCGATGAGAGAAAACTTTTTTCTTACAGCAGAATCGAACTTGAAATAATCTCAAAGCTATATGTTATATACTTTACAAGTGGAATGATAAGAAAGTTTATAGGTAGGGGAATGATGTCTTTTTCATAATCCAAGTTAATGATTCTGTAAAATCTTCCGAGTTTGCTCATATGTTTCCACGAATCATCAGCTACGTTTGAAGTCGCTCTGCAGTAGATAGGAAAGATATGCTTTTGTGGTATCTACATATTTCCCAATGTTCGTAGATCATGTTTGGAATTTACAGTTGTAGCGGTGGAATCCGGCCAAAACTGCGGGATT